ATAATTTTTAAATATTATTTTTTGAGATGTAAATCAAATATGCCCTAATTTTATTTTTGGGCAGTAATACTGCAATCCTCAAAAAATGAAAATGGCATGCGCTTGGAAGGAGATGGGTCTTGATTTGAATGCAATGCAAGGGTGGAAAGAAGTTGACCTGACAGCTCTCGGCATGGGCATTTTGTGTTGCAGATAAGATAAGCACTTTAATTTAATTTGGCACGCACCTCAAAGACCTCATTTAAGCTTCTCTGTCAGGTATGCTTCTATTTAACTTGTTCTTCAGCTGGGTTTTTTCAATATATATGGAGGGAGCCTGCTACAACCTACCTTGTAGACTATTTCATTTGTTTATTCTTAATTGTCTTGTTTCTGACTATCATTCTTTTGTGTGTCTATCTACAGTATGGAAGATTTGCTTTTGGGTATAATGATTCAAAACCATTGATCTTTTATAAATTATTTAAAGTCTGTTGATGGGATATTTATTTGTTACTTAATAGCTGCAGGGAGAAAAATGCTAAAAGAAAAGAATTATTATAAATAATTATGTTTAAATTAATTAATGCATTTTTTTTTACAAAAATCAATATACAGTAAAATTATTATAAAAAAAATCCATTGAGATTAATGCAATTTTCTTTAAAAAAAAATTCAATACATAGTAGAATTATTACTACTTTTTTAGGGGCAAGTTACTACTTTTGTGAGATAAGTTATCATTTTTAGGGGGTATGTTACAACTTTTGTGAGGTAAGTTATCACTTTTGTAGGGTAAGTTACAATTGTTTGGGAATAAGATACAAAAAATAATAACATTTAAACATAAAAAATAGTACAATTTAAACACAACAAAATAGTAATATTTAAAACTAAATAATAGTAAAATTAAATATTAATATTTTAAAAAATAACAATAGTAACATGGTAAAAAAAAATAACATTGAAAATTAATATATCGAAAGAATAGTAACATTTAATGTTAACAGTAATATGCTCACAACAAAAAATAGTAACGTGTTCAATAAAAAAAATAGTAACATTTAAAATCGAATTCGGTAAAACATGTTACAAAAAATAATGACATATGTGTTCCAAAGTCACTTGGAGCCTGGTGAAAAACCTCCCACACACGAGAGAGGAAACATCAGAAACATGGAAAACTAATCAAATCAAGAAGACAATTAAAAACTTCATAACCAGACACAAAATGATACCAGCAAAACAAGGTTAAATTCGGATCTGTCTAGAAATTAAGGATGAAAATGATATTCATGTATTTAAGAAAACATTACAATGTCTATCCCTTTGTGATTCTCAGGCACTTCAGTCATATTTCTTGTTCCACTGCTGTTGGTTCAACTGGATAATACATCCAGTGAAGTTCTTCGGCAGCATCACCTGATAGTTTCTTCCATCCTTATGATCCTTCGTGATAAACTGATGACAAATCCAAAGTCCTGAGCAAATCAATCATACACACACAAGCATGCAGACAGAGACAGGCACGCCCAACCGCGGTGGTAGTGATGGTAAATAGATATAAAGAGACAGAAAAACAGTAATGCTGTCAAATTTTGTAAAATAAATCTTCCATCAAATGTGAATTAAGGGATGATTGTTTAGGAAATTAATTTAATGTTAAAGATTATTTTTAAGTCATTAGTCGGACATTTTTAATATATAATATAAACATAATATAACAAAATTCATTATATACGAATTAATAAGTGAATTAGTTTGAGTAAAATATTTTTTTGACATAAACAAAGGTCCATTCACATGCCTTCACGTCACGGGTCGAGCCAGTACGTAGACCAATCAATGAGAGTCAAATTTGGAGACATGTGAGACAACGACGGGGGAGTTAACAAATGAGAAGTTAGTAGAGGTCTTTGTTTGGACAATGGCCCATTAGAGACGTACAATTCGTGAATGCTTATCAATTTTTAGTCTACGTGTTCCACTAAACAAAGTAGAGAACCACTCTTAAACTAATGCCCTCTCTCTCTCCTATATGTTCTAACTCAATTTAAATTATGAAAGTGAATCCATGAATTTGAAAGAATAATTAAAATAAATTTGAACACTTTATAGTAAAAAAAAAAAAAAAAAACCCTTTAAAAGAAAAAATTGTAAATTTACAAAAAAATTCTAGAAAACAGAAATAAGACTCAAGCCCTAATAATGTAGAAAATTATTTTTTTCCATGCTTGTCTTTTGTAATTATTAGAGTTCTAGGTTGAGGGTGCATTTCACTGTCAAAATGTTTGCGTTCATCTAAAAATGAACCCCAAACTTTTACGTTATTTTCGTTATAAAATATTAGATTTTTATTCACACCATTTTTATTCATTGAATTGAAACAAATTAGAATTCTCATATCTAGATTTTCTCCCCCTTTTTTTACAACCTTAAAAGTAGAGGGAGATTTCTTTTATTTTTATTTAGTGTGAAGAAATTTACGATATAAAAAAAACAAACGTACCAAGCCTGCTACTTACCTCAACATTGCTTAGAAATACATTGAAATGTTTGGGATATATGACAAAGATACATCTCTATAGGTGTGCCAATTAAATCGTGTTATATATCATATTTGAATCGTAAGATTTGGATCATATTTTATTCGGATTATATTATTTTGAGTTATTACGGCCTTGCTTCTCTATGAGCAAGAGTACTCAAACAAAACATAAAATGGGTTTCAAATAACCTTTTACCAATAATGCAACTAATTTTCAAGTAAAAACTAAACAAAAAAATGAGTTCTAAATTCAAATATCATAAGTTCGAATTTTGATAATTTTTTGAAATCAAGTAATGAGGAATAAAATTTATTCATCATGAATATTCTAGTCCCGATGTAAATGATCTGCCTTTGATTGGACCGGAGAGCAAATTATTCGAGGTACATATAAGATGGTCCAGACACTCTATTCTATTGAACCCCAAATTAAAAAAAAAAAAACACCAACCCATAACCCATCAATTGCCATGGCTGAAGCATTGAAAAAGTAATTGACAACTGATATATCATAGTTGAGCCCTATTACTATATGGAAACATCACTTTTTTATATTGTACTTTCATTTTTAATTCTATAAGAACGTGTCAAGTTCAAAATTTTACTTTATTATGTTTTCTATCAATAATTGCATACCATTCAATTTAAACTCAGTGGCTGAATGGAGGAACATAGCCTTGTACATCATAGTTAAAAGGTTGTCAAAAACAAAAGGGTTACACCCAAAACTTCTGCTTATAAATAGCTAAGTTTACCTTCTTTTGAAAGATTTTATTTAAAGTTTTGGTAATTATTTGGAGTCATGTTATGAAGAATTTATTCCTTATAAATATTTTAGTTCCGACGTGAATGACTTGTCTTTAACCAGATTGAAGAAAAAATTAGCCGAGGTCCACATAAACTAACCCGAACACCTCTAACTGTTGAATCAAAAAAAAAAATTCTATTTAAAAGTAGAATCGGAACTGTTGAAGAATTGGTACATTCCACAATGGATAAGTTAATATGTTGAGCCTTTATGGATCAAAAACGCTTTTATTATGTTTTTCATCAAATGCTAAATCACTCATTGTTACATACCTACTTATTTGTAATAGGTTTCACTTGAATATACTAACGGATGATCATGAACATTTACAGAAATTGAAGGAAAATTAATTGTAGAGATCCCTATCCCCACCATATCAAAGATTGCCTTCAATTTTGGTCTATCTATTGCGCTCTAATGGTGATGCTTCAATGTATATCACATGGTTAAGAATTGATAACCTATTGTGATATACTTGTACGTTTTTTTTTTTTGAACAAGTGATATACTTGTAGTTTAAGACATTAATTTAAATACCTATTGCGTTGTCATGCCTTTTTTTTTTTTCTTTTTTCTTTTTTCCGTTTTTTGGGTAAACTTTGAAAAGGCTCCAATGCATGATTCTTGCATGCATAGAGATCAATCCAAGAATGTGTTGGTATTTAATGTTCTCTATTAAGAATAGCCATTAAGATGATTTCCTTGCATCTTCACGTGATACTTTGTGAGATCTTAGTTCAAAGTTTCAAATCATTGATAAAATTTTTCTAGAATTGTATTTTTCTCAATACCTTTAGTTTCAAGATTGATTCATGTTTAACATAAATCACAATTGATGGTCGATACCAAAACCATCAATAATAAAACACAACACATGATGATTTGTGACATTGTAGTTTAAATTATCAATTGGTTGATATGATTCTTCTTAGTTGTGTCCATCTCAACGCCTTCTGTTTTGAGACTTAGACTTGTGTTCAGGCCACAATCAATGATTGATACCAAAACCTTCAACAATGTGTCAATAAGGCTCTAATTTGTGCCGATCAAATCAACCATTAAGAAGGCAGAATGACTTCGACAACATAGGAAGCATAAAGAATATTCAGAGTACGGATTTTCTGTCTACGAGCTCAGTACCCATCCCACGTTTGGGCCCCTTTGAAAGAGCCACCATGATGTATATCCAAAGGCCTTTTGATCTACATTATGGAAGCCTATACACGTGATTCGATAGATACCGGCTGTGCTTGTGCCTTTCCGAGTTATGGAAGGAGCCAAAACCGCCCATTGACTTCAAAAACCAAGATGATCGAAGGAAATCTTATCAACTTTATCACTTTCCCGTCTCTCTAAATAATATTACGTGGATTTACAAATTAAATTTATTTTTAAATTTAATAATTACAAATAAATTATGAATTTTAATAAATAATAAGATCTACAGTAAAATTAATTGAATAATACTACGTGGACTTAAAAAATAAATTTAAAAATTAGACTTGATAATCTTAAATTTCACTGTAGATCTCAACATTTATTAAAACTCACTATCTATTCAATAATTAAAATTATCAAATTTAATTTTTAAGTCTAATTTTTAACTCTATCCAATATTACTTAAATTAATAATTATAATTATGATGTCTATTTTTTAACTACCTATTCCTCGTTTATATAACAAACCAATTCCTGAAATCGTGTCTACACCCAGATTGAGGAGGAGAGAGAAGATGGATCAATTGAAATCAAGAGCTGCAAATTCATGCCCTCTCACTCCTATAGGCTTCTTGAAAAGATCTGCCACTGTTTATGGCGATTGCCCTTCTGTTGTGTACAACGATAAGACCTATAATTGGTCGGAGACCCACCGGAGATGTGTGCAGGTGGCGTCTTCAATGGTGTCTCTGGGCATCAAGAGAGGCCAAGTGGTCACGGTGGTGGCACCCAACATTCCCGCCATGTATGAGCTTCATTTTGCAGTACCGATGGCCGGAGCAATTCTCAATAACATCAACCTCCGCCTCGATGCCCGCACAATCGCCGTCCTCCTCCACCACAGTGAATCGAAGCTAGTGTTTGTTGACTACCAATCAGGCTCTACCATTCTCGAAGCCCTCTCTCTGTTTCCCCATAATTCGCAACGGCCACTTCTTATTCTCATCACCGACGATGAAGCGCCACTGTTCGCTGCCGGTGACTTCCATTGTACTTATGAGAGTTTGGTGGAGAAGGGTGATCCAGGATTCACGTGGGTCCAGCCGGAGAGTGAATTAGAACCCATGACACTGAACTACACCTCCGGCACCACCTCGTCTCCCAAAGGAGTGGTCCATAGCCACCGAGGTACTTTCATCATCGCCATTGATTCACTTTTAGACTGGTCGGTACCGAAACAGCCAGTTTACTTATGGACACTGCCTATGTTCCACGCCAATGGGTGGAGCTACACCTGGGGCATGGCGGCTGTCGGCGGCACCAACATCTGCCTCCGCAAATTCGACGCCTCTGTAATCTACGACGCCATAAGGAAACACAACGTGACCCATATGTGTGGTGCGCCGGTGGTTCTCAACATGATATCAAATTCCCCAAACAATAATCCTCCTCAGAAACCAGTCCACATCTTAACAGCCGGAGCTCCGCCACCAGCGGCGGTGCTGTTTCAGACCGAGTCTTTGGGTTTTGTCGTGAGTCATGGATATGGGTTGACGGAGACGGGCGGGCTAGTGGTGACCTGCGCTTGGAAGCCGCAGTGGAACCGCTTGCCGGCGACGGAGAGAGCAAGAATGAAGGCGAGACAAGGAATTAGGACTCTGGGACTCACAGAGGTCGACGTAGTTGATCCCGATTCAGGAGTGAGTGTTAAGAGAAACGGATTAACCATGGGTGAAGTAGTATTGAGAGGAGGGAGTGTCATGCTGGGTTACCTGAAAGACCCAGAGGGGACCTCAAAATCGATCAGAGAGAATGGGTGGTTCTACACCGGGGACGTCGGAGTGATGCACCCAGATGGGTACATGGAGATCAAAGACAGATCAAAGGACGTCATCATCTCCGGCGGAGAGAATTTGAGCAGCGTAGAGGTAGAATCAGTGCTCTACACTCACCCGGCGGTGAACGAGGCAGCGGTGGTGGCGCGGCCAGATAAATTCTGGGGAGAGACGCCGTGTGCTTTTGTGAGTTTGAAGGCTTCGGCTAAGGAGAAGCCGACAGAAAAGGAGATAAGAGAGTACTGCAGGGCGAAGTTGCCGCGGTTCATGGTGCCAAGAACGGTGGTGTTCAAGGAGGAGCTACCGAAGACCTCCACCGGAAAAATTCAGAAGTTTGTGCTGAGAGAGATGGCCAAGGGTATAGGGTCAGCAAAGACTAGTCGTATGTAAAATCAGTAATGTTGCTTTTAATTACTTAGACCATCTACAGGAGATCAAAATTGAAATGTTAAATTTAAATTTTAAAATTTATGTGATAGTTTAAATTCTTATTTTAAATTTTGAAATGTTAAATTTTTTATATTACACTCTCGATGTATTAAAAATATTACGATTCCATCATTTCGTTAGTTTTTATAATTCATCCTGTCAACATAAATAACGTGAATTTTGACAGAATAAATAATAAAAATTAACAAAAAAATCACGTTATAATATTTTTAATACGTTAATAGTGCAATATAAGAAATCTAATCTTCGAGGGTGCAAAATAAAAAAAAAACTTAAATCTTTCCGAACGCAAACTAAAATTCTGTAAAAAAAAAAAAAATGAGTATACAATTCTATTTGAGATCCATAAAATAAAGATGGGCTCATTAGAAACAAGTTCTAAAAATTGCATTTATAACCTTGAAAACAAAATAATGTTTATTTAAATTTGAGTAATTCTACGTGAACTTAAAAATTAGATTTAATAATTATAACAATTAACTTTATTGTGGATTTCATCATTTATTGGGACCCATCATTTATTGTTCATTTAACATTTACTCTTTAAACTTAAGTCCAAAATTTTTATTTGAGATATAAAAAAGTAAATTGGGCTCGAGAGAAACTAGGTCTAACAAATTTTAAGTGAACTTGGGTCTAACAAATTTACTTGCTGAGATAAATTACCTAGACCTAGTTCACAAATTAATTACTTGGCTCTTATCTCAGTGCTTTTCGTGATGAACTCCATCATCGGCAATGAGGCTGAGAGTTAAAATTTGACCGTTCGATGAAAACAGAGAGATGGTTTCGAGGACTAGCGATCTAAAATGGTGGTCCATGAAGACGGAGCCACGGTGAAAGAGGATTGATTTTGCATTGAGGCAATTGTTAATGTTGTTGGTTACAACATCGGGCACGAAAACGACGAAGCGGAGCTCGTACATGGCGAGGATGTTGGGAGACGAGGGAGATTGCGTGTGTTCTTTTGATGTTGAAGGAAGCAAGGGAAGAAGCGACTTGTGGGATTCTGTGGGGGCGTTCGTGGGATTCGGATCCCCTCCGTTACTTTTTTTTTTTTTAGTTTTGAATTTTAATGCATATAATTTATTTTTTTTTATAAATTTCTTTTTTAACAATGGTTAACACTCGACAACAAAATGAATGAAGAAATATCTCATCTATTAAAATTTAAAATTTTATACATATTACTCATATAACCCTGTACATAGAGAAATTAAACAGAATAAATAACAAAAGGGATTTTAATCATGCGTTTGTGACCATGCATACGCGATGGTGTTGTAGATAATGGAAGGCCAGCTGTTAAAGTATTTTAATTTTATAATATTCTAATATAGATTAAATTACACTCGTACTCTTTCCGACTGACAAACCTTAGAATAGTTCACAATAAAAGTTAATGTCATCAATAATAATGTTTGAAATACTAAAAATACCCTCCAAATATATATTCTTCTTACCTCAAAAATTTATCCCCTCCCTCATTTCTCTATTTTATATTTCATACATAACCTAAATTTTTTCCAATTAAATGATGAATTTCATAATTTATCTAATTAATAAGTTAAATATTAGAATTTTTTGTTTATTAAATAATATATTAATATAAATTCCATTTATCAATGAGTAATACTATACTGATCAAATTTTGGGACCAAATCAAGAGCTCAAATAACATGACAGTTGAATTGGGTTTTTTTATTTAATGTCATGTCATTTGGACTTCAATAAAAATTTTAAATAATATGCTACCATGTCAGTTGAGCTCTTGATTTAATCTTTAAATTTGGTCGGCATAAAATTACTATTTATCAATTCATTTGTCCCTAAATCGATCATTAACCATCATAGTTATTGTTTAATGTAATTCCATTTTATCAATCCATTTACCCCAAAATCCATCATTAACACCGTCACAATTAACCACCACCCACCGTTGCCTCCGCACTACGAAAACCACCACCACCACTTCTTCTTCCTCCTCCTCCTCCTCTCTCTATCTCTCTCTCTTCGCTTCACTGCCCAGTAAAGGAATAACCACATAACCGGTCCATCACCTCCATCTTCATTTTCACTCCACAACCACACAACACACACATAACCACAATCCAACAACCTCACCACATTCTTCTCTTCCACCTCCTCAACCAAACCACACACACAACTCGGCCACCACCACTATTAAAATCAAACTCCAAACCCCCCAAATTGAACAATAAATACATTGTCGACTTCCTAAGGAGTGGTGCCAGATTTTTTTAGCTGCATATCGAATTCGGCTTCCTCAAATCTATGAAACGAATTCGACTTCCTCAAATTTACACTTCATCTCTCTCTCTCTTGACGTTCTGTGCTTGACTAAGGAGTTGGGTTTGTGAGTGGGTTAATGTTTTGGATGGGGGTGGCTATTGTAGGGTGCTGTAGTAACTAAACAGTGGAACATCTTTCCAAGAAGTCTAGAGGAGTGAGAGGGCGTGAATTTGCAGCCCTTGGCTTCAATTGATCAATCTTCTCTCTCCTTCTGAATCTGGTTATGGACTCAATTTTCCCAGGGATTGGGCTGTTGAGTAAATAACAGAGATGGGAAAGTGATAAGTTTGATGAAGCTTCCCATGGATCTTCTTGGCCATTCTTGAAGTTAATGGACGTTCTTGGCTTCTTCTTTGATGCAGCAAGTCGCAGGCAATGCTTGTGTTTATCAGACAACGTGTATAGGCTTCTATATTGAAGCCTCTGGGAATACACTAGAGTGAGTTTTTCAGAAGCGCCAAAAGGTGGGATGGGGCAAGGTATTGCAGACTTGAACTTGAGAAAATCCATACTGTGAAATTTTTTTATGCTTCCTATACTCCTGAAGTCATTCTGCCTTCTTCCTGTTTGATTTGATCAGCATAAAATTGGAGCATCGGCATAGTGCTGAGGGTTTTGGTATCAACCATCAGAATTTGCAAAATATTTGTTAAGAGAGAGAGAGAAATTCATATAGTCTAAAGTTTTTTAAAGATAAGTTTGGGATTGTTATTACCCTTCCGATTATAAATTGTTTCACTACACTTAGGTTAACATTTTTTGTAGACAGTAAAAATACTATCGAACCCAAAAAAAAGTTTAGTTCGTTTACAAAACAAGAATATAAATCTCATGAAATTAGCAAAAAATACGATGCAACAGTTATGAAACTAGAAAGATCTAAGTGGGGACTGAATATATAATTTTAATTTGGATACATTATTATTTAAATTTAACGAAATAAAATTTACGTAAGAGTCATTGATTAAATCTTGGGCCATGCCCCCAAGCTTCAGCATAGCTTCGTCATAGATGGTAGCTAGAAGAAGGATTATAGCTAGTAATCATGGTGGTCGATGTCTTGTTTAAGTGATTAGGCCGGGTCAACTAATTGTAATAGTCTAAACCAAATTTGAAATGTTAGGTTCCTCACTTTCTTTTATCTCGGCACGACGTATTACCATCCCAAGAAAAGACAATTAATATATTCACATTATATATTTTGTTAGTTGTTGAATGGGTAACCAAATTTGATAGTTTCTCTCATCACTAATTTTAGTAACTTATTCGGAAGATTTTAGCATTAGTTGTACGGTCGTTCTCTGTTAGGTGGTAATATGTATGATATCATATTAAAGTCAATCCATCGTTAAAGACATTATCCATTTCCTATGAATTCATGGTGATTTCATAATCATATTAAGAATCGTTTCACCACCCTTTTTTTCTTCTACAAAACTAGTGTTTTAGACCATACTGTGAAACTCTCTGTGCTAGAGAATGCTTGATCCTTATCTCCAAGTAACAGTAAAAAATAAGGTATTTCCATCTTAATCAACCTAGGTAGAAAGATTAATAAAAGAGGACTTTACTTCTCTCAGTCGGAGCACTGGACGATAGGACTTCTATCTTAATGCTTTTCACATCTGATCTATCTGGCTTTGTCAGTTTTTATTTAGTGTACGAAATGACAAAGGTGTCACCGTCTTCAAGTTCTAGCAGGCCATTCTCGGATTTGGAGCATTTAGGGAAGCCATCATCGGATTTGAAAATTACCCAGTTCATGTGATGTATTCGTTTGCTTGTATCAAGAAGAAATATGTTTTTTTATCTTTGGGGATAAAAAAGCCCAAAAAGATAGCAATCAGATCCAAATCAAAATGTGGCCCACAATCACATGGGTTAACAAATTGATTCATGACCCGGTGCTTAAATAGTTTGTGTAACCAGTATACCACATTAAAATTAAAAAGTAGACCCCGCTCATTCAAATAAAACTACCCCTCCATATAAGATATAGTAATCAATCCATGTAAAAAAGTTGGGTCACCTTGTGCAATTGTTTATTTAATATTAGACAATCACGCTACGTAATAGTGATGTAATATAACCATTATACCCATTATTTACTCTCCTTGGGCATGGCTTTTTATCGAGACTTAATGATTCCAACATATATAAAACCTGCCATAGAGTTATCATCTATTGTTGCGATAAGGTTATCTTGAATTTTATACTCTCTCCCCTCGAAAGCTTAACATTATTTAATATCCCATCCCTACCACATACCTTTCAGAATGTATGTGTCCCGAGTCCCAACCAACCATACAAGCTGGGAATATTAAACTAAGAATCACAAATAAGTAAGCAAGCTAGAAAATATCCATTAACGTTGTGTTTGGTATATGTTATTAGACTTTAGGAATGAAAGATCATTTCTTAGTAATACCCATTCTTTGTTTGATTTGTGGGAATAAAATTTTATTTATATTTCTAAGGAATAACTAATGCCATAAATTATGGGATTAACCATTTCCAAATAAACGATGCTATTACTAGGGCTGTTAATCAAACTGAGTTACTCGAGCTTGACTTGACTTCGGCTCTGGTTCGACTTGTTCAGGCTCGATTCGTTTTCTAAACAAACTCGAACTTGAACAAGTTTTTAGGCTCATTTAGAAAACAAGCCCTACAACCTCGGCTCAAACTTGATAAGCTTGATTCAT